CGTACTACCTCTTCTAGCAGTCTTACCGCCTCCTGCACCTGCCCATCCGCCTGATATGCTCCGGCTAGCTCGTGCTGCGATGCTAGTCGGTCGGGATTGTCCTCCGTCAGCGTCTGCCCTTGAATCCGCACCACCTCTTCCAGCAGTCGTACCGCCTCCTTCACGTGCCCATTAGCTCGATATGCGCCGGCCAGGGCGTGCTGCGACGCCAGTCGATCGGGATGATCCTCCTCTAGCGTCTGCTCACGAATCCGCACCACCTCTTCCAGCAGCTGCACCGCATCCTTGACCTGTCCATTCGCCTTATATGCTGCTGCTAACTCGTGCTGCGACGCCAGTCGATCGGGATGATTCTCCGCCAGTGTCTGCCCTCGAATCTGCACCACTTCCTCCAGCAGACGCACAGCATCTCGAACTTTGCCATAGTTCAAAGCGTTGCGGCCCATTAGCATATACAGTCGCACCCAGCGTGGATCGACAATGGACTTGTCAAGTCCAAGGTGAGTGCATAGCCGATCTAGCAGGGTGAACAGTGTCTTATCAGCTCTCATTTTATGCAGTAGCCATCCACATTCCACCAATATCGTCGCCACAGCCGCATGATTGGCCCTAAACATACACTCCATGTCCCACGATGTCGCCGCTTGAAGGTGAGATTGCAATTGCCTTGCCTGCACTCGCCACAGATCGTGCGCACTGCCAGAGAGCGCCACGACAGAGCCCATGGCGATCCAGGACTCGTGTTGCCGCTGCTGGTCTTGACGGTCCCGTGCCCACGCGTGCACTAATGGATGCATTGATACAGACACCTGGCCATCATCCACATGGGTTGACACGAGGGCCAGAGCCTTCAGTGTATAGACAGCCTCCAGGAGCCGAAATGAATCCCACGCGTCGGAATTTTTTTGCAGAAGTGACGGTAGACGAGACACGTGCCACTTTGTCAGTCGAAGACTATTCTCGTCGTCTGTCGTATCCGCCGGTAGTTCTCGCGCTCCCTTCCATGCCGCTTCACACAATGATAGCGGTAGTTGTTCCGGCGCGCACACGGCCAGGAGTAGCAGCAGCTCTAGTGCATCTTGCGACGACTCTGTCCCACTCGTCTGTAACATCTCGGCCGATGCCTCAAACGTCGTGTATACGTCCCAATACCGCGACCGAGCTTGCGACGGCCGGAAACTGAGAAGTCGCCCTCGGTGACGCTCGTAGACGCGGGGGTACTCTGCTAAGGTGCAGTGACCTCGTGTTACGTACGCCCCAGCCTGGATCAGGGCTAGAGGATGTGATTGGAGCATTGTGGCTACCATTCGCGCTTCATCTTCCTGGAGAGGACGTTGCTCACCAGTAACGCCGGCTGCTTTCAGTAAGAGTTCTGTCGCCTCATCGATTGGGAGATCTTCTAAAGCCACGAAACCAGCGGTGGCGTATTGCTGGCACTCGGCGTTCCGCGACGTCAACACTACTACTCCAGCTGAGCCAGGTGGGAAATAAGCCTGGTAGTCGATGTTGGGGTCATCAGCATTATCCAGAACCAACATCCACGGGTGTTGCAGGTTGGCAAGTCCCTGCAGGCCATTCTCCCACGTCGATACAGGCATCTGTAGTTGAGAGGCGATGTTGAGAAATCCATTCTCCGCAAGAGACAACGAGCTGACGTCGACCCAAAAGACGCCGTCGAGTCTGATAGAGTCAGTAAAGCTACTTCTGGACACGGTCGTGAAGAAAGATCACCTACGACGATCGGACGCGATGCGCCAGCTGTAAGCTGATCTCGCTTTTACCCTGTCCCCCTAGACCAGTAATGACGATGCGACACTGCTCTCGGCGCTGATCTGCGAATAACGCTGGCTGCACAGCATCGTAAACAGTCCTTTCTAGATAATGAAGAACGTCCTCCCGTCCGGTAAACAAGGTGTTTGACGAGCGAGGCACTATCCATCGCGCGTTTCCATGTTCCAAATTCACGTCTAGGTAAGTTAGCAATGTAAGTTATAAATAATAAAGGGACAAACTTACTTCTTAGAGACTTCTCAACTTCGTTCCGTAGCCGTACGAGCGCTAGCTCGTGTTCACCATATATCATAGGCATACTTACATTGAAAATTCCAAGGAGACAGTATGCCTGATCCTCCCTCTTCTTGGTATATCGATTAGCGGCCCATCGCATGCGCTCGTCTACACTGAATTGAGACAACGGCTCGCCGCGAAGTGCCGCGATTGGAATTCCCGTAATCTTATGGATCAGTTGTTCTAGCGTCCTCTTATCACCTAAGCGTTCCCCTTCGTACGAAAAGAACTCGACCGATGACGGCGCCAGAAGTTCTTGAAGCGTCCAGCCCCGTGTGAACCATCTGCTGTTGCGGAAGGCCCGCTCCCATGTCCGTTCCGTAGGGTCTTCCCCGTCGGGGATTGACACGTCGGCCAGATAGACATAGCACTTTACGGCATTGCGGTACCAGCGAAACATCGAGTTGATAGCTTCTGAGTATTCTATATTGTGCGTTTTATCGATGCAACAGGTGTCCACCCAGAAGTAATCGAGGTTGTCCTTCTTCGCTTGCTCGCCGCAGAACCGGATCTTCGCATAGCCAGCCTTGTTCTTAATCGATTTGTGTTTGAGGTCCTCGAAATCGACCTCGTCCTTTTCGTCTCCCCATGTATGCGAGAGGATCGCGTAGGGGGGAATACCGTCGCGAAGATCCTCGGTTAGGCTGAGTTCGCCCTGATCGTCGAATTTTAGAAGCCGCATGGTGTCGGGTGCACTCTGGCGGCACGTTGTGAGTATGTGTGCGGCCTAGATAAGTACACCGTGCCTCGTACGGCTCCAAAAGCTTGAGTGTTCGTTGTGACCCGCTAGTGGATGCCACTCTAGCAAACTAATCGGGCGAAGAGAGGCAGTCGTGGTGGTTGGAATGACGGCGAGGTAACGGCAAAGTTGGTTGCGAGGCGGGCGCCGTGGACGCTGGACAGTGATGGGCGACTCAACGCCGTGCCGCCTTTCAATGCTGGACCATAGTAAAGACTGACCCAGCGATTATACAGACGCATTATGAAGAATATCCGATCAGGCTGAACGTGTATGTTCAGACGGCGCAGTGGCCTGCATGCGGCAGCGTGGTGCCTATGCCGCAGGTAGGCACGAGGATGGGGGCTGAAATGTGTGGCGTCAACCCAACACCGCCTCTGCGATTGTGGCGTGGAGCAGACGGACTAAGTCAGGCTAATACAGCAAAGCACGAAACTGCCTTCAAATGACAGCCAATACAGCTGCAACTTGACGTGGGTGACCAATTTATTTAGTTGGTCCAATGCATAACAATACCGTAGCGGCACGGTTATTACGTCCGTGCCAAGGGATTTCGGCTGGTCCTCGGCTCTTGCCGGAGGCCCACGTTGACGTGTGCAGACCTTCTACGAGATCGGTAATGCACCACGGCACCCATCAGCGATAGAGTCAGTCTATTTCGGAGATTGTTCACGTGCAAGAGAAATAACCTGGTACTCTATGACTGCTGCCTACTATGCTGAGTAGGAGAGTATTATTCCGGCCGAGACGCCGGAAAAGAGCAGAGCCGAAATGGCACGGCTGATTTCCGCCCGTTATGGTCACATCAGTTTGGTAATTTTATACATTATGCAGATATATAAGTAACTCAACATCGGTGCTATAGGCTCCTTTCCTCTAACGAAGGATATTCGAATCTGTGTTAGATAGAGAGGTGCGGAAAATAAAAGTGGGTCCACATCCAGGGCATTTCATTGCATAGGGATGCACGTTATATGTCGCGTCATCGATGTTCAGCTGTACACAGCCATCATCGGCAGCACATCGTGAGAAATGAGGAACGGATGGACTGCAGGGGCCGAGATACGAACCAAGGAACAAAAGCTCTATCTCGTTCGTCATTGACCTCACTCGGCGAGGGTACCAGAAGTTCTTCAGAATGCTGACCAAATTAGATAGGGCTCCAGCAAAATGTGGCTGCATCTGAATGTTCCGGCTTTTATGGTCGTCGTGGTGTAACACCCATCACGCCACGAATTCCCAGCCACTGCAAAGGTGGCAGGAAGATGAACGGATCGAAGGTATAAGAAGAGCCTTCGAACCCTTAGATAGACAGACGGGTTTCAGTACATTACCATTCCACACCCTACCTTGTACGCTCGCAACGATTTATGATCCCTCTCCTCACACCCTCTATTAGTACTGTTGTTACAATCGCTGTGGCAAGTAACAGGATGGAACATTCGCCGACACAGCGACATGCGGGGCAAATCGTCTGACGAAGTACATTCAGCACAATTTGGAAAACGATTGGCCGAAGCCTGCGTCAAATAAGTTGAAGGTGCTCTGGGAAGTTTCCCAAGAAAAGACCCCTCTCCATATGGCTACACCCTCGTACGCGAGAAAACCTCGACGGGCGAGTTAGGATAAGTACGAGGACTACAGTAATGGAGAACCGTACGATCTTGGTGACATGCCTGCTGTTCGGTGGTGGTGTTAGAACGTTCGAGTGTTTAAAGCACTAGAAACGGAGTGGTATTACAGAAGAACATCCCGAGATAGTCAACTGCTAACCTATCGTTCGTGACAGGTCGACTCATTCTGCAACACTCACCCACTAGGCTGTATCACCATTGATAGGCAACAACGTTGACGAACACTGCGTGGATAGATATATATATAGATAGGCTCTATGTTACATTTTCGAACAAGAGAGTTATCATGCATAGGCTCCGCAACTGAAACACTGGTAAATGGTTTCTATAGACAACGGTATTCCTGATGGTTGCTCTGCGCGACGAGCAGATATTCTCACTTCTATAAAAGAGACGTCAGGAACGCAACAAGTAGATAGAGAACGGAGAGCATTCAAGACATCTGAAGTTGTACCTAGTTTGACAGTAGATTGTAGCTATGGAAAGGGGGAGATCCCCTCCATATTGGCCAGGGAATAGGGGCTCTTGGCACTAGACACCAGTAAGCTTCGGCTGTTTGACAGTAACCGAGCCTGAGCGGACAAGTCTCGATGTCGATATGATCCATGGATTGGATCCGATGGGTCGTGGTATTTCATCGGATCCAATCCGCGGACCACTTTCAAACTTCTCTCATTGAAAGAATGCTTTGCTCTCCTTCGGCTAGAGGGTGGAATTGAGCCTGTCCATATATCTATCTAACGAGTATAAGTCATCATTATTGCCTGTCAATGGTGATATAGTCTGGTGAGCGAATGTGGCAAAATAACCCGGTTAGTCGTGAATGATAGGCCATCAATTGTTCAACAGCCACCTAGACAAGCCCTACTGATCACACTCGAGATAACTCGTATGGAACGTTAACGGACGAGCCTCGATATCGAAATGGTCCATGGATTGGATCCGATGGGCCGTATCACGAGACCACATGCTGAGGATCGTATCTTGGCTCTCTTCATGCTACGTCTTGTACCTAGGACTCGATGCTAGCTAGAATACATTGCTTGAACTCTTGACGTCGAATACTCACAGGCCGTGGTATTTCATCGGATCCAGTCTGTGGACCACCTAGACAAAGCTCCACAGATCACATCCGAGATGACTCATATGGAGCGTCAACGGACGAGCCTCGATATCGACATAGTCCATAGATCGAATCCCATGATGTACCACTGCCATCGGATCCAATCCGTGGACCGTGTGGCCGGGTGGGGGCCGAGGGGCAGTGGTCTCGTTCCTTCGACGGCGTGTACGGCGCAGCCTCCTTAGCTTGATCGGATCCAGTCCATGGGATTTCTGAAAAGCACTGTATTTAACGGCAAACGAACGGGTCAAGGTGGCGGATTCCTCTGCAGGTAGCGCCATAGTATGACATCTAGCCACCGACAGGGTCCGGCTACTAACCGAACCGCCGTGCTTAGGGAGGAGTGTAGGGAGGCTGGGAGGACGAATATAAGGTACAAGAAAGGGACCACAGACCTTAGATAGAGGAAGTGAGGCTTCAGCACATTGCCGTGACGGCTCGGAGAAGCCGGCTTCGAGCGGACATTATTGACGCAGCGCAATGTACAGTATATCATCTTGGGAGAAAAGTGGAGCTATCCGAATATCAAAATAGATCCAAATCAAATCAAATCAAATCGATCCTTTTCGAGGCTCGATTTGATTTGATTTATTGTTTGCAGGCCTGGATGAGGATCTGTCCGTTGAACAAATAGTAGCCTATTGTTCATGGCAAACCAGACTATTCAGTAACATTCACCTCCTAGCGTGCAACACCATTGACAGGCAACAGTGCCAGCGTACACCTCGTAGATAGATATATAGATGGACTCTATCCCACACCCATTTAAAGAGATCAGAGCATTCAATACATCTCAAGTTACACCCAGTTTAACAATATCACTACACCACATCATCATCTCAGAACTCAGCTATCGTAGCTTTCACGCCGCCCAAGACTACCTGTGCACGTACTAGCATATAGAAATCCTCCCGAGGGAAAACTTGAATCCTAGGAGTATCCACCATCCCTCGAGCTCAAGCAACGGCCTACCTGATGGATGCACCAATAATTCTCTATAAAAGCGCAGCCGTTAGCTTCTAGCAACGAGTCTGTAGATGGTTCAATGCGTTTCAAACAATTACATTAATTCATCGATCCATTCCATCAATGTGGACAAGAGCTGATTGAATATTTTGGTGCTAATTGCTTGAATCGCCATCGAAGTCATTTTTTGGAATGATCTCCCTGCAAAGTACATTTAAGAAGACAATCTTTTCTAGAGACCACGTTACTACTGAATTGAAGCTACATAGATCGTCTTTTCTTGTAGGTGTTGATACTAAAAGAGTGTATAAGGGTCAGACAAGGTCACCCCCAACGCACAGTATCTACCTCGCGTATGCTGATATCCGAATAGTGTTTTAGAACCGAATCGTCCATTCCCCCAGTGCGTTCTAGAGACTCCGTAAAGCCTAGATGATCTTGGTGAAAGAAGCCCCTCTAGGCCCTGTAGGCGCATGTCAACGCCGTCGATCAATTCTTTATAACTTTGATGTTCGACTCGCTAGTTGTATGAGATCACCCTCATTTCTTCCGGCATCTCGTTCAAGAATAAAACGAGCCTGCAGCATTTGCAATATGGCCCTCACCAAACCCATAGCAATGACCTATCTGGAAGTTGGTGCCGCCTCCATCGACCCAGAAAGGGCCAGCTATTTTTTGAGTGGCGTCGCAGTAATATAGGGTATGAAATCTGGCTCTTGGTGATGCCCTCCGTAGGCTTTCACTCTATATGATTTAAAACCCGGCGAAGGCGTAGAGCAACTGTTATCCCATACGTTGATAGTCCTGAAGTCGCCCGAGCAGTCGGTAGATCCAAATACATCGATTACGTAAGACGATGCTGTTCCGGCAAGGCGGAGGCCTAGGATGGCAAGGCTCTTCAGGAGCAATCCTCGCATTTTGATGTCGTTGTATCAGTCTCGGACCGGAATGCCTTGTGTGGGAAATAGATATAAGGACAATTGAGAATTTCGAATATTCAAAAAGCCTAGATGTGAGATGGAGAGCGGCTCTGTATACTTTTTTTCTTTCACGGTGATTGCGTATCTTGCGTTTAGCGTTTCTCGTTAGCTTCTATGAATAGGCAGATCTCAGGTAAATTAATCCATCTCCCCGAGAAGAAGCTGCCAGACTGACGGCCTCATCAATAGTTGACCACTCTATTCGTTGATGGCTGCTCTCCAGCAAATTGTGTCTGAAACTTCATGGAGGACCAGAGGGACCCGCGTAAGACGACCCGCGGCAGAGATCTATAAATGGATATTCTAAGTAAGACGGAAGGATTTTCAGAGTAGTAGAGGCCGGATATGAATGACTAATTTATGGCTGGATATTAAGGTCTAGTATTCTTTGGAGTCTAGGACTGTTGTGATATGAGGCTCGATTAAATTGTATAGATTATGGAAATATTCCGGTGCTTGGTAATTAGATGGAAATCTTCCAGCAGAAGGATCTGGAGTATATGTATCTCTCCTCTCTATTCTTATAGAAGAAACATGCATCAACGGCGTGAAATTCAACAACAGGAAATGCACGATCCACTCTTAGCCCAGTAATATACCAAGAAACTCTGCCGTCCACTGACGATTCCTCGGTCGTTTTCTTCGCAGACTCAAACGACCTCAGGAGAGGCTTGACTAGCGGCCGGTGGCACTGGGTCCCAGGGAACGGACGCGATTCGTCTCGGTACACCAATGGCATACTACGAAGTACCCGGTCATGGCCGAATCCTAGCATGGGCCAGAGGATTCCGTGGTATCGCAAACACTTCCATTTACCTAACAGTGGGAACCTTCGGACTTGCCAAAAGACATTTTGGATTCATGGCTAGGCCTACAAATTTTTTTCCATACTTCTCTTCATGTATTTTCTCTTGACATATTGTGCAACATGGGGTCGGTCCTACTAGTCACGAGAGAAGAAGAAGAAGAGTATACACACTGGTCGTAGATACAAGAAGCATTCGGCGCCGTTATTCATGAGTGTTAGAGTGCCTTAGAGTGGAATCGTAATGATACGAAGGCGTAGGAGCTAGGCAATGGATCTAAATGATAGTAAGGCAATCCATGTAACATCGACTAATCGCTCTTTGAGAAGGCATCAAGGCAACATGCTTCTCGCAAGCGATTCGAAGGGCGCTAGCTTGCTGGCTTAGCATGTTTGTCCTAATGTCAGGGGGTACAATCCCTCACGACCGATCGGTGCTAGGAATTTCTTGGGTGAAAATCGATGAGTTAGGCGAAACAAGTGTATGATTTGGTTATGGGTGCCTCGCCGACACTTCGAATGGTTGATATCGGAACAGAATTGTTGTATTAAGTAGGCCAAGGGATATCTCGATATCTCGCTGTTTGAAACCGCAGGAATCTTTGAACTCTGCGATTGGCAGACAAATACACATCGAGATGGTCTCGGCTGACAAACATGCGAACAACTCTGTTATCATCAATCTTCTTATGTTCGCCTGCCGGGCGATAGGGTTGCCGTAGAGTGGACAACTGTGTTTGAGATCTTCAAAAATGGTGAGGCATCCCTGCTAACGGCAAGCTGGAGCGATTATTAGGGCTGCCATCTCAGAGTTTTGAGACCACTATCGGAGAACAACAAACGACTATACGTTCAAGAACGTGTTCTGCAACAGCATCGCGACAATGCTGAATCTCACTTCCCGTCCTCAAGGGCTGTTACTGGCTTTTGAAACTGGCCTTGCATCTAGCATCGACACATCTTGATCCTCCGACTATTCACGATGAGACTTCATAGATTCAAAATCAGGAATTTTCTACCCTGGTCCTCTCCAGCCCACTCTTTTCGATGAAGACCCGCATCCCATCACCGCGTATGTGAAGCGTCTTTTCCATCCATTGACCAGCCTTGAAACAGACTAGGGCCAGGTCCCCTCTTCCATAGTCCCTGAATAAGACTTTTCCACCTAGCTTGAGCAGGCAATGCACGTCGTCAACAGCTTGCTTCCATTATTGAGGGCTCTAGGCAGAAAAATGAAGATCATGATAACATTCACAATACCCTCATCCATTTGTTCTAGCGGCTATCACTTACATCTCCTCCATCCGCATTCTGCCTACTTTGCCGTTTGACCTTGTTCCGTATAGTATCTTCGCCCCTCGTAGCCTCAGCAGATCTCTTACTAGAATCAGCTGCTACAACCTCAGATTCAGAATTTTCGTCTACTTTCATAATTGGAAAGGTTGTGTTTCCTGCACCGGCACCAAACTTCAAAGCCACCCTCCTACCGACATCCTTTCTCGTGATCTTATGCTGTCAAACTGGGTGTAACTCGAGATGTCTTGAATGCTCTGTTCTCTATCTACTTGTCGAGGTATTGAGGCTTCTTTTATAGACGTGCGAATACTACGTCGTTACACAGAGCAACCATCAGTAACGTCGTCGCCTATGGAGACCTCTCACCAGTGTTTCAGCTGTGGAGCCTGTACACAATAGCCCTTTGTTCAACATATGCAAAATGGTGGATTCATGAGCCAGCTTGGTGGGGCCAGCGGGTTTCTCCAGGCGCGTGTTGGGCTCGGGAGGAAGTCAAATATAGCGGAAAAGCTGTCGGGGATGACACCGGGCGGGTTCGTCCTCTGCCGACTTCTTGGATTTTGGGCCCGTTCTTACGATCTCGGACGATTTTGGGTGTGGTCGATGTTGTATTCGGATTTGGTCGCCTCAAGCTGCCTTCCCTATAAAACGTTTGGGGCTGCAAGGGTGGCAGCATCAATTTACTAACATCCCCGCCCCGAGGGGGACCTATGGGAGAGCGGTTACAAGCCGTAGTAACGACATGATATGCGAGACCATTGGGTCGCTGCCATTTTTCCATACGAGGGCTTTAGGTACTAACAACAAAGATAAGTCTGTTTCCATATTTTCTGAATTCACTACCAAGGCGGGCTCGTTAGCGATCTATCTACAAAGGCCGCTGGCGGAGACTCTTTGATTGCCTGGGAGGGACCGCGATGTTATCATTTAACAACAGAAGTGATGTTTTGGGGTTGGCAACCATCAATCCTGAGCAATACGAACAATTGCGTCATTTGCCCGTCCCCGTTCCCATAACCGAGGATGTGCGGGAATACGGCCGTCTAAGAGGGGGAGAAGGGACGGCTTGGGCAACTCTAAGTGATTATGTGCACCGGATTCGCTGTGGTTGGTATTACGATTTTGGGAGAGCCTTTCACAGTGGGGGGTCTCTAATCTTGATCAGCAGATGCCCGTATTATTATTGTAATGAATGCCACAGATCTACAGAGCGATGCCATTATTTGATACAACGGGGGTTGGAAGAGGGACGGTGCGGGGCATTTCACTACCTGGGCTCAAATCGGCGGAATGGTGGGGGGTGGATCGACCGACAACTCGGCGGGTGGCGGGGGCAGTCGAATCAGTCTTGCAAGAGTGTGGTTGTCTTGGCATGGATCTTACTCACAGAAAATATCAATCAATCAACCTGGCATTATTGAACAGAGCTACGAAAGTATGCGCTGTCACCACCCCCTACCCCCGATGCAACCGCACCCCCGATACGGACCGAGAACTTTTGGGAATCAAAAGAACAAGCTCAAGGAGTCGTTCAGCTAAAAGAGCCGAGGTATCCAAATGTCGCCCTCCCCTGGAAGCACATGGTACCTTGCCTGTTGTGGCCTGAGCGGGTTGATTTTGCAGAAGACCATCGATGCTTGACAACGACTCGGTGAAATTTCGTAGGCTCACCTACCCAAGGCCTCGACTGGGATACCTCAACCTGCTCAACAGCGGAAAATCGTTCAGTCAAGCTTGTAGACGAAGTACTGCATATTACCGGCGGCTTTTTGGTCGCTATAAGTGGCGCTGTACACTTCGTATACGCTTCGAAACTACATAGTCAGACGGTTCCCCTTGACCCCTTCGAAATAGAAGAAGTCCTCCGTAAAATCACAGGGTTGCTGGATTCCGGCACGTAGTCGGCTGTCTCTGACCTTTCGGCGATAAGGTATGTGTTGATGTGCTACAATTATTCTACAGCGAGCATGATATAGATTTAATCGCGACGATCGTGTGCCTGGAAATATCTCGGGACAGCGACTCCTGATCGCGACTTCGGACCACAACCACTGACGCGGAGCATTAGGACCACTCGGCAACATCAATCTTGCTACACAAAACACGATTAACCTTAATAGACGCCGAATTCTTGGTGAGAAGAGTCAAATTCAATACCGTACAGGACTTGTTCGGAGCAAGCTTAAGTGCGTGATTCAACATGGATGAGCCTGCAAGACAAGTAATAGCTCTGATCGGGCTGGGCACCATTGGAATTTCCTTTGCAGCCCTGCACCTCAAGCATTCTGACGCCTTGCTCCGCGTGTACGACCCACGACCTGACCTCAAGCAACATGTTGCATCGATGCTTCCGGTATACCTTGAATCCACCGACCCTTCTCTGTCAGTGGATTCGTTGATCTCCGGCGGCCGGTTTGTACTCTGTTCTACTTTGGCCGAGGCGTGTACAGGAGCCTCGATTGTCCAAGAGCAAGGTCCTGAAAACCTGCAAGTGAAGGCGTCGACGTGGTCTGAAGTTTTGCGTCACGTATCCCCCACTGCTCATCTATGGAGTTCGACATCAGGAGTACCCGCTTCTCAACAAGTGCAGGAATTAAAGGACAAGACAAGACTTTTAGTTGTCCATCCTTTCAACCCACCGCACGTCATGCCCCTCGTAGAGATTGTGCCATCTCCGGAGACAGATCCAGGGGAAGTGCAATTTGCAAAGAGATATTTCGAGGCCTTGAAATCTGGTCACCGTCCTGTGGTGGTACGCAAAGAGGCCTCCGGCTTTGTCGCCAATCGTTTGGCTTTTATTCTATTCCGAGAGGCATGTTCTCTAGTCGCCGATGACATCGTCAGTGTCCAAGACTTGGACACCATTGTGGAGGCGAGCCTTGGACCACGTTGGGCCGTCGCAGGACCATTCAAGTCATACAGTTATGGTGGGGGGACCGGAGGGCTTCCTGCATTTCTCAGGAACCTTTCTGGGACCATGGAGGAGGTCTGGCAGAGTGCGGGCACGGTCAGTTTTGAACGGACAGAATTTGACCCCACAAACATCAAATCAGACGGGGCAACTGTTATCGACGACAACGACACACCACATGACCAGTCTGGTATATGGACGCACAAGGTCATTCAACAAACACTGGAAGGATATGGTTTTCCCGATTCGCGTATATTGGCGTCACGCGATGCTGCCCTCCGGCGGGTGCTACAGGCAGCAGAACCCCATAACGCCTGAGTTTGGAAAAGGTTCCCTTAACCTCTTAAAAATTTAGTTCTACGAGAACATCACTTCATCAAATGCCCATCCCCTCGACCCCATGTGATAGGAGATAGTTACTGGGCATTCTGAGTAGCGGCCGCCATGGTACGAATAGAAGCGACCAATGTAACCTTCTGAAGGCTACTCCATGGTTCATCCTCTAAATCGTCCATCTCCGCATCCCGATACCCGTATGGTGCCACAGAGCGGGGAAGTATCGCAAATGATCGACCTTGTGCAAATATATCAGCCAGCGACCATCAAGTTTGAGAATAAAGCCATGCATACCTTTGATAGTCTTGTCACAAGCAATCCGAAGGACCGCGGTCGCGCAGTCTTTGACCTCGGCAAACTCGACTCCTTTGGATACCAATCTCTCTATGACCTGAGGCTTTAAAATCGTCGTTTTGGTGTACCTACATCCTTCAATCAGCTTTGTCCTTTGTCTTCATTCCAATTGAAGATTTTGCAGCATCGTACCAAGGTGCAACGTAATTGACGCGAATGCCCTCTTGCCACGAGGTGCGTCTGGCGCTTCTTATGAGACCCCGGAGTCCGAATTTGGAGGCAGAATACCCTAGCCGATCCAGGAGTCCGGCAACGCTTCCCTTGAAGATGAAACATCTGTCCCAATCGGCCGCCTCTGGCCGGGCACGAAGATAGTGTTCGCCCAGTTTGAATGTGTATAATACCCCGATCATGTTGATCTGGATGATCGGGAGTGACGGTATTGTAGGTTCTGTGTTGGGGTCTTTCGGCGAGAACCAGTCAGAAAATGGCAGGCAACGGCAAAAAGCAAAGAAGATGCTGGATTTGCAATACCTTTGAGCATAGAAGTCTCATCTGGGCCAGTTATTCCAGCATTAGCAACCACAATGTCACAGCTCCTGGCAGGCGACCGCGCAACCGCCAGCTTGAACATGTTCAACTGATCATCCCAGGAGGTTGTGTCGCACTTGACGAACTGAACGCTGCTGCTCGATGAGAAAGGAATCAGCTTCCTTGATCACTCCATTTCCCCAGGAGTCCTTCGATGGGAGTCGTGCACCTACGATCCAAGTTCGGCTGCAAGACTCTTGCCTTTCTTCTCATCAATGTCACCAAAAGCCACGAACGCCCTGCACATACGAGATTTAGGATAAGTATACGAAAGAAGACAGCTATCAAGGCAAAACTTCTGACCCGGCAGCAGAGAATTCCCTAACATAAACTTCGCCGAAACCATTTGCGCCTATGTGGTATCTGCTGTCAAAGGGTGTTGTGTCCTCGTCCCCAAGCGTTTGCTCACCTCCTGTGATGACCACACTTTTCCCTCTCAATGTACCAGTTTCCGGCTTGATCGAGCAATCAACTGGCCCGTTGTTGGTATATAAAGGCAGAGGCATTACTTTTGACCGTCTGTTGAATTTTTGGTTTAGTTTACTGCTGAATTTTCCTCAATAGAACACAGCTGATTTCGATGAATAGCGCGATTATTCTGGCAGCGAAAATCACTATGATATTCAATTATCCGGAGCCCACCACTACACCCGAGCCGCGGAACGATTTCCAGACCCATCTCCTCAAATGAAGCCGCGGTTCCATCGGCGTTATCAAAGATGCAATGAGGCTCGGCCGTCAACGTCTAAATGTTGCTCACTTCCTTCGGCGATCTAGCACCACGTCAGACATCGGGCAAAGGCACTTTGCACAAAACAGTGTGGGTATGCTAGATATCATGTACGTTATAGGATGCTTCTCATGACTCTTTGGCATATGTGGCAGGCATCTCGAGCTTACATATTCGAATCCGATAATGGCAACACCATGTGGCTCCGCGTCGCTTCAGCCTGACCTAACCGCTAGTGCCTTGCCTAACGAAGTGCCGCACGAAAATGAGTGGTACAGACAAGACTTTGAGGGATATCAGATATCCGAAACCACTCTATATACAAGACGCCCAGTGAAACTCGTCTGCGTCGGCGCTGGTACTTCGGGCCTCCAGATTGCAAACAAAGCCGAAGTCATCTTCAAGGATGTCGAGGTGGTCATCTACGAAAAGAACGACGACTCGGGAGGGACATGACTGGAGAATCGGTACCCAGGGTGCACATGTGACATTCCAAGTCATAGTTAGTATGTTTTCTTTTCTTTTTCTTTCTTTCTTTTTTTTTTTTTTTTTTTTTGTGTGTGTGTTTTCATTTTGTCCTGAACTATCT